AGATCCTATGTAACCACTTCCAGCGAAACAACAATCATTTGAAATCACAGTACTGTTAGACCACATTAATTGATGAATAGTCGTATTCATAGCACAGTCATGGAACAACAAGTTAAGTTTATATATTATTTACGAGTAGCTGGTCATTGTGCAATAATCACTTCACTTAATATCACGTTATCATCTCCGACAAAGTCTAAGAAATATTGTCATTAAAAACGGTAGTAATGATATAGAAGTGATGCTTGATATCAAAAACTATGTAGATAACAACACTTGATTGATTACTTAGGCAGATCACCTTCAAGTCTTCTCATGAGTTTGGCACAGGAGCAATACATACACAAGTTTATGAACCATATAAATAACTAAAACTGCTTAACAACAGTATTCAAAGTGTGCGCCATCAGCCTGAACAGATTTCTGTGGTCTCTCAGCCAACAAATCAATACCGTGCTCATGGAATTCGTCATCCTTGGCTTCATAGAAGTCAATACTCGACGCAAATGACTGATGCCTCGGAACATCATTCTGCTAAGGACGTGCTACAACGACCGGAAGAGGTGATAGTCAGATGGCGACAAGTCAGGACTGTGCGGCAGATAATCGAGCAACCCCTAGCCAATTTAGGTCCACTTGCTCTTTGTAAATTTGGCGACAAAAGAAGGCTCAGAAAATCTGCACAAAGCGATACTGATTTGTTGCCTGAGTGATGGCAGAGATGTGTTCAAGCTGATGGCGCATACTTTGCGCATAGTGTTACTAAGCAGTTCTGATTACTTCTGGTTAATAAATTTGGTATTTATTGCTCTCCTGCTAAAATTTATGAGGAGACCTAATAAATCGTCCTTAGCTGATCTGGCAGTCTTTTTTCCAAAGTCTCATTTGAGGTGCAATGAATTGTACTTACCGAATATTTCGGATCAAAATGATGTTTAATGACTTTCTAATGGGTTTAATCCTGGATAACTGTGATTTCAAGAGCTTAGCTTTCACGATAAGAATATAACCATTCTTAGCTAAGGCGTCTTCTAATAATATGAGCCCTGTTGTACATCGAAGTTTCCAGGGATGGAAAACTTCCACCGCCACGGTAAGGGACGAACGGCTGAATGTAGGAGATAACTACAGTGTAAATTTAACACGAATATCACTCTGGATAGCAACTCAATAAGTAAATTTGACATGGAAATAGGGGATGCATTGACGAAAGTTTTGAGTGTAAACGTTGTTACAACGTGCACTAGGGCAATAAAAAAAAGATCAAAAAGCAAACCAAGCAGCAACAAAAACCACTTTCGTTCGACAACTGCGCTCACTTGAAACTTTCGTGATTAATTCATAGGATTACCCGAAATCTGAGTTGAGAACTATAGTTGGCCTATCAGAAAAACTTAATTGCCATTTTTTATAGATTTCTTATTATAAAACTTTGGATAAAAAAAGGAAAACTTCGTAAGCTTGTACTTAACAAGAGCTTGGTAGACGAAAATCAACAGCTTCCAAATATCCCTATTATCGGAATGGTTGGCTAACAATGTGTACAGTATGAAATGCACTCACAACAAAGAGAAACTAGTAAAAACAACACTATCATTTCAATCGATCGCTGCTTTCCCTATCTACAATAGAAGGGTTGCTCATTACGATATCATCTTAATATTGATCAATTCATCTTTATACTTTTTTTTCGCTTTTTCGCCATTTTCTATGCTGCAATTGATTTCCATATTCGCAACGACTCTGCCTTATCGAACAGTGAATCAAAGGACGACCTGACGAGTTCATAGATGAAAAGACTAATTTATTCAGTACTTTATTTGATCCGAATCATGGTTTTCTCTCACTTTGTGAATCTCAGTAGTTCTAACATTCAAATCATCTCCTCGTGTTCATCACCTGACTGGGAATTTTTCTTCTTCATGAATGCCGTGAAGTATTAGTTGAGCGTATCTTGTATATCCCGAGGATAGCCAGGCTAGGGCGATCCGTGGGGCGTTCGTTGTTAACCACCGGAGAGTGTTGGGATGGAATTCGGCCCCGCGCGCCGCGACGAGCATCACAACTACTTCATATACAGATTTATAGGACATATAAAAGTGCGACATACATATGTACACACATATGTATATATAGTGTTTTACAAGTTATTTTCAGATAACTAAAGAACTTAAGTTAAGAATTTGAAAGTTTTGTCAAAGAGACTTTGCTTTGTAGCTCTAGATATGCATGTAAGGGATAAAAGATAGAAAGCTTTGCGTTAGTTTCCTTCATATAGATCTGTCATGGATTTAACTCTATAATCGAAGTGAAATAATGCACATTTAGCCTATACAACAACGCACGGGAGCATCAAACTAATGCTACTATCCTCCAACATGGTCTGGTATCATTTTGTTAACCCCAAAGAAAAATTTATCGGAAGGCCTCATGTGCCTTGTATGCTGTGTCAAATCAATGACCACGAGTGTGTCGTGAATCAGTACTTTTTCTTTCCAGATAAATTTATTGTGAACCCTCTGGAAAGGTCAGATGTGAAAATGCGTTCCATTACGTCAAGATTTATGATTGTCCAAAGACTATGTGTATCTTAAACAACCTCCGACTACAGGGATGTTCCCATTGTAACTGAAAACGTACTCATATTTATATATCTTCACCACAGACAGCGAACATCAAAGATGGATTCTCGATATCATTACATCTTGTTAAACGATAAAATCTCTAAATGCTTGATTGATTCGTTGTTCGCAACACAATCTTTGAGAAGAAAAAAAAGGGAAACATGGGATTTCGCAGCTATGACGTAATAGATATGTCTTACTGCGATGTATCTGTAGATTCTAGTGATTAAACTTCAACTAATCTTTTTCGTGGTTGGGGTAGCGCAGTTGTTAGTTATGCTGTGTATCAGGAAGCGAGATGTTCAACGATGCTCTGACTCGATCCACTGTCCAGACACTCTTGCAATCAATCAACGAAGGTTTGGACGCCTTAGCTCGGTTAGCTCCTAGATTGTGAATTCGTCTAAACCAGCTTCTAAGACATTCATGAAGACGATGAAATCCTCAAGCAACAGTTGAAGAACCACGTGGAAGTTCGAAGACCTTCGTGGAGGATGCGGGATGCGAGGAGACGAATCGAACGCTAGGAGTGCTCGAATCTACACAGTAAATTTTCATGACAGATCGTATGTGAATGTAAACCAATTTGATCTTCATTTAAATAGAAAAACGCAGTATTTAAAGCCACCTGTGGTGAGCCCAAGTCTATTTATATCGTCTCTCTCCCCAACGCTCCCACTTCACCTTCACCGCTACGTGTTTATAATCTAATTGTCAAAAAAAAAAAAGAAAAACGAAAAGGAAGGAGAGAAGGATTTGCAACCGGAAATAAACATAATAAACACGAATTCTTTATCGAGCCGATTTAGCACCATTGTTATGCTATTACAACTACATATTCAAGTATGTTGAGAGATGTCAAAAATAAAAACTCTGAACCTTGCGCGAGAGCTGAACCCGTGTCTCAGTCTTTCCGAGGACAAGTGCTAACCACTACACTACCGGGACCTCGTTTTTTGCATATCACTTAACATTCTCGGTCAGAAAACTAAACATAGTCTATCCGTGAATATCATCACGCCTTACCAGGAAAATTTCGATTGTTCAACTACCCAGTTGTTTGAGATATAACAATCTTGACAGGAAAAAAGCGTCATTTAAGCTAGTTTGCGGCTGAAATCAACCTCTATTTGTCCAAATTGACGAAGCGCTGTTATGAACTCACCTATAGTTTGCAAACATTCTGGATCATCGATATCTCTGTATACCCGCTTCAGTGCGCATTTTCCAAGAGATCCAAAAAAAAAAAAACTGAGGCTTAGGAGGCTTCTAGAGATTATCGCTCGGTTGCTCACTTCTCGGAAAGGAAACAAGAGTTTTTGGTCACACATGTGATTCACAGATGACTCATATCGTCGAGGATGCATTAAAAATAAAGAAGAAGACAAATATTCGACCAGTTTGAGAAGCAATGTCTAGGACGACTCATTTTTGATCGACTTCCCGAATAAACAAGTCTATATAGCTGATGTAAAAACTGACTAGTTGGTTTGGATGTAAGTCTTTTAGCAAGCTAACTGAAAATAGTAACGATGAAGAGAGCGCTTTATTGAGAAATGTCAGTAGAGGGGAATATCATGCATGGAACTCAAGTCTGATAAGGTTTGGTAGACAAAACAAAAGAAAAATTCCAACGCTTGGTAAACAACCCAAAACTCAACGATGTTAGCCAAAAATCTGGTGATATACTTACATCAATATCTAAGAAGTAGCGCGCGGGAAAAACACCTCGATTCAACTTGATATAAAGATTTTTTAACAAAAAATTATAGCCGATGACAGAGTGCATTTGAAGGGGAGCGGCATGACTCCCACTGATGTTGTGTACACGTCGTTCTCCCCTCGCAGCAGATCGATACACGAGCTCAAAAGTCGTAAACAAGTAGGGTTCCCCATGCACATCGTTAGAATCGAGAGGTGGATTCGGGTTGATTGGCGGCACTTGACAGCTAGATTAAGGAACGAGTAAATTCATTAATCGTTTTAGGTGACACAGTAGCACGCTTGCGGAATGGCACGCTAATGGAAAGTTATGGTCCCACAAATTCTTAAGCGTGGACCTAAGCCTAAGCCTAAGCCTGCTCTCGTAATTCCATATTCAAAATAAAAATTTTCAAAAAACCACGAAGAAACTGATGGGACCGCGACTCTCCACGAGGACCCGGAAAGGGTATTTCCTAATGGGATAGAGTGAAGTGCTTATGGAAAGAGCGAAAGAGAGACAGAAAGGGAAAGGAAGGGGCGGGACAATAGACCATTCTCCCATGACTCAGCCTTGTATCGTCACAATTTCTAAAGCACAAAGTTCCGAGAGAATTACTAGTAATCTGTAAAGCTATATGCCCAATGATGATGATGAGTGGAGTGCAAAACTTTTACGCCAGGCGAGACTCGAACCCGCATTGCACCCTGTCCAGGAGCTCGTGTTCAAATCCGCTGCGCTACCGGCGCCTGTTCTGCCACCACTCCTTCTACGTTACAAAGACTAAATAGTGCACGAGTATTATTGCTATTTTTGCGTCAACTGATCGACTTTACAGTATCAAAGTCGCCTTCACAATAGAACAGACGTCTTTCTACTAGGCGACGAACGAATTCAGTGCTTTACAAGCATATTCTCCTAATGGCAGATTGACAGCGATGAGATAGCTACGGTATAATAGCGATTATCCCTTTATCGTCTTTCCCCACTTTGTGACACCCATGAAAGCTGCACGTGCGGCTCAGTGGTTAAAGGTGCACTGACGCAATCACGTATTCGATGGTTCAATCCTGCGCCCAAGGCTCACCAAACCTTCTATCCCTCCAGGCCAGTACCGACTACAACGCTCGATAAAGTCGAATACATGGCAGATCTCTAACGGATTGATAAACGCCAAGCGCTTATTTTTTTTACATCCATGTACCTTCCCAACTACTTCGCGAATTTTTTACAAATCTTCAGGACTTTTCCTTAACAGAAAGTTTTCTATCACTAATGGATGGCAACTCCCTGAAGGAAATAATAGCCAACCTTTATAATCATGGCTCAAACTTAAAAAAAAGGCTTCGTGAAGCTAGAGTTAGTTCTGGTTCTACATTCATTTCCTCCATAATTGATCTAATCAGAAAAAAAAACAATGATTTCAGAGTTTTCTAATCATTACTCGCTCCTTCCTCGTAGACAAAACTCTGCAGTTCTGAGCGAAATGGAGCCTGGTAGACAGTCTCGACCCCCGACTCAGTGAAATCTTCATAACCTAGCCACGGAATCGTGACTTCCTTTGGGGATGTACGCGCCTGTGTTAAATGGTAAGAGGAGATGGTAGGCAGTAACTGCTTCTTTTCATAAGATTGCGGATGTAACACTACGCTTTTTTATACGTCCATTCACTTCTCGCTATCTCTAAATGAGACCTAGCAACACAGTTGCTGAAAACGAGACTGTTGCTTCGGAAAATTACCAAAATATCCGTTCATGTGAGCAGCCCATACGCAACCGTCGGAATCGTAAAAACGGAAAGAATGTCTAGATACTGCAAAAATCGCTAGTGAAAGAGAAATTTTTGAGATTTTTTAGCGAATTTAAAAGAAATCATCAAGCATGTCATCGCCGTCTGGAACTAGTACGATGCTGGAAAAAGAAAGCACCACAAAAATATTCTTCTTGTGAAAATGGTTGAAGTGTTTAACCAATATTACAACAAAGAAAACAAAACAAACAATGAATACTTGTTAGATAGATAAGTCAACACTACAAAACTGGTACGGATACAGAAGGTTCAACAAATCCGTTCCTTCGGTTCCATAATCACCACGGAATTTCCACGAATCACAACCATTCCAAGTGATACTGGATCTCCACTTTTGGGATGCTCAACTGCGTCCTAAACAGCATAAACGTCACTTTGAAAGCAATCTCTCCTTAGTAACCCAATGATAGCAAAAGAAGTCTTGTTTCGATGCACGCAGAATCAAACTCAGAACTCAAACAAAGACTAGTTTTGGCACTCTATAAGTAAAAAAGGACGCGAGAATAGCAATGGTTAGAAATACTGCACAATATACGCAGTGCCGCACGTTCAACCCTGCACTAACCTAAGCAAACCTCACTGAGGTTAAAAAACTGGTATGAAACTTTTTTTTTGTGAGAGTATCCTGTTGAGTTTTGTATAACGATGACTGGATACGCTCATAAGCCGAGATCATCAGATGATAAATGTAGACATTGCTTTCTCCATAATGAGGTAAGCGCACGTAGATGAAGTGCTCGACCGATACATACGAAGGTACTTCATGAAGTTGCTTGTAATTAGAGATGAAATCATTGACGGAGCAAAGTGACAATAGGTTGATCTGTCAAGTTGATAAACACATCTGTTTCAAGGCAAGTCTGGGTTGTCAGAAAAAGTGTTCACAATATTTGATGAATACTTTACTTTTCTGACACTTCATTGATCAGAAATCTTTTTATCTGACCGCCACTTGCGGTGGTATGATCTTGTAATATACCCAATAATGTGGAGTGCTGTCCAAAAACATTTGCGTCAGCCTGAATTCGAACCCAGATCTCTCTTTCCGGGAGCGTATGCTAACCGTTGCACCACCGACGCTCGTTTTGCACAGCACTCTTTTTACGCTACAAGGCGTTACCTGTCAACAGCCAAGCGTCGACGGTCTGGCTGGGCAGCCGCTATCGGCATTGAACCCATTTGTGCTGACAGAGATTGGGTATCGATATCCAATCAGAATTTTTTTTTATCTGACCGCCACTTACGGTGGTATGATCTTGTAATATACCCAGTAATGTCTACTGATGTGCAGAATTACGCCTTGTAGCGTAAAAAGAGTGCTGTGCAAAACGAGCGTCGGTGGTGCAACGGTTGGCATACGCTCCCGGAAAGAGAGATCTGGTTTCGAATTCCGGCTGACGCAAATGTTTTTGCACAGCACTCCACATTATTGGGTATATTACATCTTCATTGGTCCTTCTTCACAGTTTTTTCTTCACTGTACAGATCAATGGACTCCTAGTATTCACCTTGCTTTTTTAGTCTTCTTCTTGAACGCCGTAGATTAGTGGTTGAGCACACCTAGTTGCAATCTCAAGGATAGCCTGGTTGTGGCTCCATAGTTCGTTCGCTTTTAACTGCTGAAAGTGAGAGGAGGGGGTATTGTGGGGTTCGCCAAGTGCGCTGCGGTGAGCAATACAACCATTCGGCCAAGGAGCCGTATTTAGAGAATATAGTAAAGAAACTCCAATCTAGCCCACCAAAGAGTAAAAACAAAAATAATGAAGATAAAGCTCTCGATGTCGATCAGTTTCGGGGACGACGGGGGATAACGCCATGCATTCGACTTAATTGAGCATCGCTTTGCGGCGACCAAATGCATTTTTGCCCTTTACAACGACTCGCGATGGTTTACCAATGTGTCAAGTCAGTGTTGCTAAACTCCCGGACAGGTCTGGTATTAATTCACCAAACCCGGATGTATAGAAGGCTCACTGAGCGTTGTGAGCAAAACCGAATCATCAGTCATCGACTGATGAGCCACTTGTGTATTGTAGAGCGCCTAATCACGGCTCTGCACGTGGCCTTACCAACTACTATAATAGCAACTGTAGCGAGATCAAGTTGAAGAATAACCACAAAACTATCTTGGTTCATCCTGACAACATATTTTAAGCCTTTCATGAGGTCTGTCAGGGCGTCAGGGTGATACAGGGGAATACACGTGTTTCGACCTTGCAGCCTCGTCAGTTGCACAGTGAGCCAATCTCTTACGGGGTAGAGGCTTAGAATATGATGTCGGGATGTATTAATTTTGAGCGAGATCTTGTAATCTACTATATTCCCATGACGGCCTTCACAAAACAATCAATACAGCAGATCAATGAAAAGGGAAATGTCAAGCGAGTACTGCTTATTTTAATTGTAAGATTTGACGGTAATGAGAGTTGTGGTCCCATAAAACGCATCCGAGCCACGCGCAAGGATTACGTGGGCCAGGTACAACGCTGAAGCTTGCTAGAGAACGAAAGCCGTGATTGCAAGGACCACATTGAAAGCTTCTCTGACCAGATCACCTCGCTGACTGTCTAGGAAATCGAGGAGCCAAATGACGAATGCAATGAGGATGCGCACAGGGACTCGACAAAGGTATGGACGTCGACTTTGAGCGCCAAAACAAAGTAAAGACCAGCCAGTAATTGTGCTCTTATAATCTAATACTCAAGGAAATCAATTTGTAAAATAATTTAGAAGAATTTATGAGGACTACAACTCTCCATATGAGCCCAGTATCTACTTGTGCACAAAATACCACAAACCACAAAAAACGCTACATTTTGATCGCTCCAGGCTTTAAAAGCGAACACCAAAACGTTATCTATTGCTAGAAAAATTTTCATCAACACCCTCGTTTCTGTTCACACAGAAAAGTCGCTTATTGATCAGTGCCGAAGTTGACAATAACACAAGAAATCGCTTCTGATGACTATAACAGATTCAAGACATAAGTACGAAAATCATGGGTGAAAAGTTTTTGTCTTTGCCAATTAGTTTAGAGAAATTTCGAGGCGGTCTCTAAGCTGAATGCTTCTGCTTCGTAAACGTTTATGTGAGAAAATAAAAGCGACCAAATTGAAATCCAACCCTAGTGAAGAGTTGTGACCCCATCAATTTTTAATCTCCAAAGGACGATGTGTACCAGCTGAGATACACGACTGTTTTAAGGCTTTTCTCGCTGGACCAAACTTTTCCCCTAGACACTTGATAGTCATTCGAAAGCTTAAATCTCTGCGATTTCAACAGTACGTGTGATTTTTGAAAAAGCCTTTTTATACGTTGTGGCAGTGAAAATAAAATCATGCCTCACACTAGGTTCGTTCTGCTTGCTCAAGTGGGCTTGTACATGGTTCTTCGCCAAATTCTTACTACACACTCGATGCCCAAATCTCGAGCATTTTAATGTATAACTGATTTCTTGAACGGTTCTCAAAGAACGGTGTAAAACGAGAAGATTACGTTTTGCACTCAAAGTTTTTACCGTACAGAAAACTTATATATGCACGAGAAAATTATGAGCATGTAGAGGAAATCATGGAGTATCAGAGTAACAGAAAAAGCACAAGATTCAGTTTCCATATGGCAAAAAAACCCTAACTGAATAACGAAAATCACGCGCCTCTCGCGATTTGCGCTGCGCGATCGATCAACCACTGTCCCTAAAGGATTAAAGTATGGAAGCACGTGGGAAACACAATCTTATTGTGAATGCTATAGGGTCGTAAGGAGGCTTTTTCGAACAAACAACTAAATTTCTGAAATCATTGAAATTTGTGCTACTTCAAGCATGGTAGCTTAGAAAAAAAGCTGTGTTCAACGCAATATGAGCGAGATAATCATAAAAACGCACGGCACGTGTGAAACTTAGTCCTATTTTGAATGCTACAGCGCTGTAAAAATGCCTTAACAAAAAACGAGCACGTATTGTTCCCCAAAATTCAAGCTTTCGAATGATTATTAATCTATCTACGAAAAGTTCTTGTCCAACAAAAGAGGCACCTTCACACTTCTTTACAGACTTGATGAGACCACAACTCTTCACTGGCGTCTGAAATGCCACTAGGTCTCCAACTAAGTTTCCGAACTTGATCCAGAAACGCAAGTATTTGTTTTTCCAATAATCAAAAAGTATCAAATAACATTGATTGAAGTATTCTCAGAACATTCTCAGAACAGAATTGTCACCATTGATGAGAAGTGGATCTCCTTCAAGAGCCAGCGGCGTCCGAATCAGTGGTTGTCACTTGGTCTAGCAAGGAAACACCAACATCGATACCAGACCATCGATTTGCGCCAAAAGCAATGTTGATCATTTTCTGGGACCGAGATGGACCGACTTATTGGGACTAGTTGCAAACCGATCAGACCCTGCAACGCTGAGCGATACTTTCAGTAAGTAGACCGTTGCAATCAAGCACCGTCCACGTCCCGCCGTCGTCAAGTCATTTTGCTTCAAGACAATGCAAAGCCACACGTTGCCAAGAAAACAAGGAAGTTGACCGATCTGAGCTGGGAGCACTTGGATCATTGCCGTGTATTCGACAGATCTGTCTTCGTTCGATTTCTATCTCTTCAGATCATCAGAGCACTGGCTGGACAAGAGAAGTTTCGGACATCAATCATTTGCGTCGAGAATTGACCGCTTGGTTCGCATCGAAGAACAACGAGTTTTATGAGAGCGGAATTGATTTGTTGCCGGAGCTTTGGCAGAATTGCATCCAGGCAGACGGAGAATACTTCGATTAATATATGACTAAGAGATTGAGTGGTGAACAAAAACACGGCCTCAGGCGGCAATCGAACCCACGTTTCATCCTATCCGGGGACGCGTGCTCTACCACTACACCACTGAGGCACATTTGCCCGATCACTCATTCTTCAACATCTCAATATTAGCTATCAGCCACCAACCTTTGACAGGTTTGGTCGGGTATGCGATTTCGCTTTGTAAACCCAGTTGAGCTGATAGCTATTCTAATTACTAATACTTCGAAATTATAGTATTTTCACTGCTTTTTTCGCAGTGTTACTATGTTACTTATATGACTTCGATTAATATTATTTGATACTTTCGAGTACTCGGAAAAGTAAATTTTTTGCATTCCTGACCAAGTTTGGAAACCTAGTTGGAGACCTGAAAGATCTTCTAAGAGATGAAGCTCACCTCGATGACCATGTTCATGAACGGATCAAATCCTCGAAGAACTCCGGACACACGGCGATTCCCGTTTAGTTTCAGATCCATCTCTTTGTCCATGTATTTCTTCAGCTCTGGCGGATGCGTCTTACTCATTTTCTATAAGAAAAAAGGTCCGCATTTCACGTGAATTCAGAAGAAAAGACAAATTATGACGATCATTGCGATGATTTCGTATTTCTTAATCAGTGAACACGAGTCTTTTGACAGTACAATTTATTGATTAATTCTTCTAATATTTGCTTTAGCAGTGATATCATGTTTAAATATACAACCGAGAAGATTGTGAGGTATGCAAAAATCCGACCTCAGGCGGGAGTTGAACTCGCGTGTCATCCTCATCGAAGATGCGAGAAACCACTACACCACCGAGGCCACCGCTTTGCCAACACTCTTTCTTCGATACGAACTATCAAAGCTGTCAGCAGCCAACCTTTTACGGGGTTAAACTGTAATGTTAACAGGTTCGTGTACGCTCTTCGAGAAAGTGGAACTATTTGGTCAAGGGGTGTAGTCAATCGATAACCGATCTTTGTAATCGGTGCGATAGCCACCCGAAACCACGAAGTACCTCTGACCCATCCCAGCAAATAATCAGAAACAGGGAACGAAGCAAACTGGCAAACACCAAGAGAGACACTCCATGGTGACCTAAAGAAAAAAAAGCTTGGACTCAAGCGCGCTCCAATTCGAAATACTTGGAGATGAAAACTCGTCCATCATCCTGGACAGATCAACGAGGGAAAAACTCGTCCAACTTCCCCAATGCTATATGATAGCCACCGGCCATTTCTGGCGATTTTCTCTGCTAGGCGGGTTCGGATTTTCGTCCTCTCCTCATTCTCACATAGCCTTTGAAAGTGGCTAATTGCCTGTATTTCTACTAATTACTCCTTGCATTTATTCTGTTTACCGGCCATAAATTGTCTTGTAGCATCGTTTGCTTTGATTTCGATGATCCATCTGTTGATTGATGAATCAATCGGGGTCTTAGACCACGGCACGTCTCTTCTGGGACGCCAAGCGACAAAATACGAATAAGTGGTTCTTGGGGAGACTTGCGATCCCGTCAGTTCCTACAGTATTTTCCAACTGGTTTTTTTTTTGAATAGGAAATTTGAAAAAGCTTTGCCGACGGGCTTGCTCCAAGGCGACGTTCATCGATAGACCGCCATGAGAGTCGTTGTGACTGCTATCCCAAACCGCAAAGCACCTCTAACTCATTGTAGTAGATAATCAGAAAAAAAGAACGAAGTAAACTGACAAGTACCGAAGAAGACCCTTGATGGCAAACCCCAAAAAGAGAGCCCTCGATTTAAGGCGCTGCCATTTGAAGCGTGGAGAGGTGAAAACTCGTCCGTTATTATGGACAAATCGAGGATAGGGGAACTCGTCCAACGCTCTCCAGTACTGTACGTTAGCCGCAGGCTATTTAAGGCGACATCTTCTGCGGAGCGCGTTCGCATTTTCGTTTTCCTCTCAATTTTCTCGAGCAGCACTTGAAAGCGGCTAATTTTCTGTATTTCTACTAATTATTTCTTACGTTTATTCTGTTTACTGGTCAAAAATTGTGCTTTGTAGCGTCGTTTGTTTTAATCTCGATGAGGTCTCCGTTGGTTGATGGATCGATCTCTTCTGAGAGACGCCAGCTGATAAAGTAGGGATAAATGGACCTTGTGGAGAGTTGTGGTCCCATCAATTCTCGAAGTATTTTCTGACTGATTTCTTTGGCTAAGGAATTAGGAGGGCTTAGCTTAGGCCACCAATCGGGACCACAACTCTCCCACAAGCGTCGAATCATTTCATTTGGTTGTGATAGAGAGAACTTTGGATGGAGAGTTTATGCGTTTTTAAGGCGATATAAGTGTTTTAAATGAAGTCTCAATTGACTTGTCTGCTTAATATGCACTATAACCGGTGGACTTCCGCGGACCCAACTGGGCGTGTCTACAGGAGCCAACCGGTTACAGTGTACGCCTGATCACGGGCCACATTTGGTTGTCCTCTAGGTAATCTTATTATTTCGAAGTTCTCCAAAAGCATGGAGGTTACTGAGAGATAATCATTTTTTTTAACCACGCATGTCAGTGGTCTATCAAAGAGGGCTGACTTTTTCTAACGCTCTATGTTCGGTGAAATTTCCACTGGACATAGAGTGCGAAACGTTCGTCGTCGCTAACTCTTAGTGTGGGGACTGGAGCGCATCCACACAGGATTGTCAAAAGACGAGAAAGGGTAACTGCCCGACTGACGAGATCGCAGGATCGAAACACGTGTATCGGACTCAATAAGTCAGCCCTCATTGACAGACCACTGACATGCGTCGCTCAAATAATGATATCAGGCATACTGAAATTTGGGCAGTGGTCTTGAGAAAACACTCGAAATGAAAGATATGAGGTAGAATGATCATTGGTTATTGGGATCTGGTTTACTAGTGATCACTGGTCAGCATATAGGGATCATAACCATTGCGCATACGCATTAGATGGATCTCAGGATTTGGCTTCTGAGCACAAGCGTCTGAGCGAATATATCGATCAACTATGCGAACCGGAAAATGTTCAGTTGACCTTTTCGCTACGGCGTGTATCGAAAACGACTCACACGTGTCCCCGGTGTTCGGAGTTCTTACGGAGATTGCTGCGACCCCCATTTGAAATCCGGTACCTATTTGGGAAATTCAGATTCTAAAGAGGCCTCTTTTTTACTGCGGAGACTTTCACTCTATCTCTCTATTTGGTTCGTATCACTTTTTCACTATACCCAGTCCTTCGAGCTAGCATTCAATTCGTCTCCCTGCTTATCTAAGGATTTCATCTTCCTCACGGACGTTGTAGAGTACTGGTCGAGCACACCTCACAATCCCAGGGATAGCAAAGCTGCGGCGTTCATTATCGATTAGCCCAGTATTCTGGGAGTGGGGGATCGCCCCGAATAGATCCGTATCGAACATCATCAACCACTCGGCCACGGATCTCAGGGCATCATTATACTATATCAGAGGAGAACGCGCCGCCGGCCACTCTTCGTAGCCGTCCGAACCGGCCACCAGCCGAGAGAGCGCCGTAGCGAGGGTTTCACAAATCCATGGCTTCCGGTTGACTTCGGTGGACCCAGAGGCTGTACAAAGACACCTCCTCTGCCTTGGTTGGACGCCGAATACAGCTGCTTTTCGTTGCACAACCCTTAGCTGAGTTGTGGAATGATGCGCGTACGGTCTACGCCAGCGTATTGACTGCTGTTTCTTAATGTTCACACAGCATTTGCATACATAATATCGTGAAAGAGCAATCAGTGCGCCGGCGGGTACAGCACATGGACCATATCAAAAGTTAGCTGCGGCTCCTGCAACGAGAAGTAGCTGTAGGTAGTAGGCGTCCAATCGGGGCAGAGGAAGTGTAGTTGTCGGACAGGGCCCCTGGGTCCACGGAAGTCAACCGGTTAACCCATCGCAGCGAGTAACTCACTTGTTAATAATCTGATAGCATTATAGCATGTTTGAGCCTGTCGCTATGGGGTCGGTATGACACTAACACAGTGTTAGACAGCAGCCACGGACCTCATAACGACAAGCTCAAACATGCTATCATGTCATCAGATTATCATTGCTCTAAGCCACGTCTATAGGAAAGGTCGGGAGTAGGGTATCACTTGTTAATAGTCTCTTTCCAGTCCATATGAAGCGTTTTTCTTTGCCTATTTTTTCTAGAAAATGCGAAGATTCAGACTTTTGGTGATGATTATTTCGGCTAAGCTGACTAAGAGGCCCTGCAAATGGCGCATTAGCTATGAAACCATCGGTAACTCTTATTTTTCAGTCACAATGTTACCGCTAGAAATCGTGCTAAATATGGTTGACGCTCAACTAAAGAGCGCTGCGACAAGTGATTCAGCCGAAGCCGAGTCGTCAAATTCTCCATCAATGTCGGCGGCATATCCAGTGACTGCGTGAGTTTTTTTTCCTTATTAGCTTTTCCTACCATCTAGGGACGGCAGTTACGAGAGCTCACTGGTTCTATGGACTATGAAGAAGTGTCCGAACGAACTGAGCTATCTTCGAGAACATTTTCATTCCTATTATTATTCTATTTCACACCACGTGCCTTCCTGTCTGCCATACGGAAGGATCCTAGCGGTTTTTACATCCTCTTTTCGCACTGGTCCCTCCATAGAGGTCTTCGTTCTTATGTGAGAGTTCCAATACTGTTTAAGGATTTCGATCTCCTCTATAAACGTCGTTGAATGCTGGTCCAGTCGAATCTCGCGAATCTTTCGGTAGGCCCCATCTTAGAGGGTTAAAGCATTTGAAAAAATTACAGGCATTTAGTGGTCCGAAAAGTTGTTCATAATCCGGAATAGTGCTCAGACTTCTTAGTGAAGGCCATCTGTCGACCTCGGCATTACCCATTATTTCACGGTTTTTTCCAGCTGATAAGCCATAGCACGAGTTTGTTCTAATAAAACTGAGCACAATGGGAAAACTTGGTGAAAGGCGCATGAAAAGCAGTCGCTGTATTGAGAAGTTGTTTTGCTCTTTGTGGACTGAAATCTGGGGTTTGATGAGATTCTCCATTGAAGTAATGGAAGTGTTTGGCTGGCTGATCGGGTAGGCAACCTAGTCTCCTTAGGCTCTGAGGGAAGCGCAATCCATCGAAATGTCAGCTGTTTGAATACATATTAAAACAACCTCGTTTCTTGGCTCATCAGGAGAAAGTGCGAAGTAGTGCTCATGGTATTTGAATGTTACTCCAAACATATACGGCTCTTTAATCCCTCTGTATCTCCTTGCTCGACTTATGCCTAATCCGCGCCCTGATTCTTTTCAAGGTAATAAGCTTTGTACGCTTTAATCTCCCAAAGAAGAAAAATGCAGCTCATGAATTGATTATTTTCTTTTTACTGGAAAACTCTGAACACTTGATATACAAGCTTGTTCGAGGTTGTTGTGAATTGTTGTACAAAATATTTGACCTCAGGCGAGAAAAACCCGGGTTTCACCCATACCGTGGGGCGCATGCTACCACTACACCATTGAGGCCACCGCTTTACTGCTGAAATCTGTTATTTTTTGAATCTAAGTTGATTTTATGAGTTTTTAGCGGAGGGCAACTTGATGCTGATGTGGTCAGTGATCAGATAATCAGCGATTTGTTGGATTACGAAGCGACGCTGCGCTATCACTGCGAAGGCTGTTCGTCTGGTAAGTGACCTGTTTCTTCAAAACAAGAGATCTGTATATTCGTTTCGGCAGGTTTTTTTGTTTTGCCATCTATAATTGATCTTGTGAACTTTGCACATTTCTCTTTCAAGAGGCGACTTTCTATAAGCTTTCGTTTCATCAATAAGTAGTGAATTCTTTTTTGATTCAGCTA